AACCACAGGTTTCGACTTGTGGTTATTTGCAACCACACACAATGAAATGTGCTTTACACATTTGTGAACCAGAGAGGAAAGTAACACATGGGCACTAAAGATGTTATTAAAATGCAAATTTGTAAAACCTGACATTGATTTGCTCTTAGCTTCCCTTAGTCAATACTGCAGCTGCAAGTCTTTTGGAGCATCTCTACCAAATGTATAAAGAGCCTGAGACTCTTTACACATTTTTAAAGTAGGAAAAACAAGCCAAAAATAATTTATATGAATAATTGCAAAAGTTTTTGTCCCAACTTCCACTGGGACAAAAATGTGTCGCAGTCTGATTTGTAAGTCTTACAAATACGACTGTGGCACTTTGACTTACTACATGTAAACGTTGCTTTCATCGCAATAAGGTTTTTTCAGGTAGAAAGAAGAAAAGCAAGAAAAAAGGAAGAGGAACCTAATCTGAATCTAACTGGGTTTTTAAAAATAATTTGCGTACTGTAAATCAAATAAAATGAAGCGCATAACTTTGCATAATATTGCGTAACATTGCACTATTCAGGGAGAGACTGCTCAGACAGCAGTGGCATGCAAACACATGTAGGTTTGCATGCCACATTTTCTTCCAATAAACGTCCCCCGCAATTTATTGAAATAGCAATGCAGTGACTATTTTTCAACCAAACTGTACCATAAACTTTTATTAGGGTAATTAAATCAGCGTATAGCTGAGACTGCAGAAACAGACAAAAAAAGGCCACAACATTTTCACCAGGGATTGGGTTCCAAGCAACTGATGGCCAATGTAGGGTTTATTAATAGTTACCTATCCTATGAACACAGGAGCCATTACATTAAAGGGTCACATTTTCAGTATACAGACACATCAGTGAATTGCATTTTTTTTTTTATTCTTGCAGGCAAATTGCATGCTGGAGGGTGTTAGAAGCAACATGTTGGGTCAAATTTCTGTATTTGTCTAAATTTACTCCCTCATTTCATGGCACAATCAGGCACACTTGCAGAACTTCTTCTACATGTTCGATGCGTCTCCTACGTGGTATTCATCAAACAAGGGAGGGCTCCCTTCTTGCTTCATGATGTGTGTGTTCGCTAATCTGTCAAATCCAGCCTTGTCCACCGGATTACCAGAAAGACAGGCACGACTAGTCACGCCAGAGATCACATGCCCAAAAGCTCCAGACTCCAGAGCTTTACACCAGCGAATCGGACACATTGTACTTTGTTATGGACAGCTTGGAAGCAGCAGAAACCCATCCTACAGGCCTCTTTGCAGACTGTTCTTGAGTTACTCTGAAGGCAACACACATTTGGAGAATCTGCTGTGTGATTTTGCATGGCTTTACCACTTTTGTGGGAGAGTTGCTGTCATTTCCATTCACTTCCACTTTTTTTATTTTTTTTATAGAGAGATGAACACTTGTGAAGCAATCTGCATGACAAGGTGCTGGATATTATTCACCTATGTCCACAGAAGTGGTTAGTTAAAACAGCTGAAATCAATTATTTGAAGCAGTGACCCAATGCTTTAGGGTGCACAGTGAGTGTAGTTTGACAACAATCCCAGAAAATTACACATTTTTAGGAAAAACAGGAAATGACATTGTTTTTCTGCTGCATAATTAGGGGTGTAATTGTAAAAGTAAGAGATGGAAAAACTGAGGCAATTTGCTTTTTTGTATATAATAAGAGACCGGTCTGTTTTTATAAATATATTACAGTTGTGAACGGACGCAGTTTTCTGATGCATGCCAGTCGTTTTCTACTCCGTGACTCCCTGAAAGCCCTGAATGGTATTTGAAATCCTCCGCCTTATAGGTAAAGCTCTTTTCTGACCAACATCCAGCAGAGTGTTTCACTCTCAGACAGCAGGGTTATTTTTGAATCCTGGAGTGACTGAGTAGAATAGGAAGTAGAGCCTTCAGGTATCAGGCTACTTTCCTGTGAAACTACTGCCTTATTTGAGAGATGTGTCTGTCTTAGATATCCATTAGGCATAACTTGTTCTTGTATTACAATATAGAAACTTAAAAGTATAACATTTGTTTTAATAATACTATGTACCAATCATTTGGCCTCTTTTAAAGCATTATTTAATGCCCTAGATAATTATGACAATAGGTCAAAAAATAAGTACATTTACTCATCATATTGTTATATTAGTATAAACTGGCTGGGGAAAAAGAAATAATGTTGAGCAAAATTGGGATATTTGATCTCTGAGCTGGTAACACTTTTATTTATTTGGTAGCAGTACTTTTATTCAAGACGCACCTTACTGGCAGTGCCGTGCTGGATCAGGGACCTGACAACCACTCCTGCTTTGGAATAGTCCTCACCGAAGCAAAGGCCCAGACCTACATGATCCTGGACAAAAAAAAAAAAAAATCCTTATATTTAAATGTAGTGTTTAAAGCTGAGAAAAATTAAAGCCAGATGCATCCATGAAGGGGAAAGGTATTGTACCTGGGGTAGCACGATATGCTCGATGCCATGTGATTCACCCTCTGCAGCGTCCGTCTTAGAGTCCACTGTGTCCCCGTCCTCCCTCCTGATTCTCTTCAGCATTTGTCCTGCTTTATTTCTGTTAAAATGAAAGTAATCTAACTCATCAAAACGTGATTTTATTTATTTATTTTTTTTTGTTGTTGTCAGAAATAGCAGGTGTGTAAATGCACATAACAGGTTATTTACCGGATGAGAATGATCTTGACTTTAGAGGGGGCGTTGTTGATAATGGTGGTAGCATTTTGATGACTCCGACCGTACAAGATCTGACCATTTATCTGGGGGGAAAAAAAAAAAAAAAGATAAAAAAAAAAGAAACAACCCTTGAGTTAGTTGTTTTTTGTGTTTTCTTTGACTAACTCTGCATATGCCTTTTCAAAATGCCCTTTGATTTTATGTGCAATAATAATTATTGAAAGCATAAAACTAATTAAAGTGTCTAGAAAAAAATTGTCCATACCCCCTGAACATTTAATGTCACTCTGCAACCAAGAACTTAAGCTTATAGCTTATTGGGATTTTATATGACAGACCAGCTGAAAATAGTGTTTAGCTTTAATTGGACAGAAAAGGTTTCCCAAATTTTTTTCCAGATAAAAGTTTGAAATGGATGGTTTTTGTGTTCATCCATCGCTTACAGGAGAAAGTTAATATCAAATTTATGTCTCAAACTCAAATTATGTTTCCTTCACTCCTGTTACAGTTCTTTTCTTTTTGTGATAACAGTACTCTTTTCTAAGATTTCGGTCGTTTGTTCAACTCAGCCAAATTTGTTCCCCATTTCTATTGACCTTACTTACCTCCAGCAGCTCGTCCCCAACATGTATTCTCCCATCCAAGCCAGCAGGCCCGTTCGGGTCTATTCCTTCCACGCAGACACTCATTCGTGCCCTGGAGCCCTCCTCGTTGCCTGCGAGTCTAATTCCCAAACCGTGAGCTGCAGGGTCCTTCTCCAGCTCAATCATGTGGAGCCTTCCTGACAGGCTGCCATAGCGCTGGAGCATCTTCTCTAGCAGGGAGGGAGTGTTAACAAACAGGAGGGTTGTTAGGAGGAGAATATAATGGCTCAGCCAAAAAGTGTGGCCGACTACATCTAATGACTGACACTTGGAGACATGTGGAGAAGCAATCCAGCCTTGAGGACAGTGTGTGTGCGTGCGCGCGTGTGTGTGTGTGTTGCTGCAGTTTGCCTGGAAGGGATATTTCTTGTTGTGGACTGGGAGGACAATGTCAGGGTTTCTGTTCGTTGCACATATATAATATAATTGTGCTGTGTGTGCATGTGTGTGTGTGTGAATATGAACTTCCATGACGATATACCAGTGGATACATGTCTATATGTGCATGAGTTGTAACTTGTGGCTGTTAGCGAACATTTTAATGCACGTACATGCTCTCGCTTATAAACACATGTTCAAATTAATATTTTAAGTTACCTTAAAGTTACCCGCTGGCGTCTGCATAATCCAGCTTTTTGAAATTTTATGGGGGAAAAAACGAGGTCTTGTGTTACTGACAAAAAGAGAGCTGTGATGAGTATTGACTGCCAGGGTTCCATAACCCTGGCATTTATGGGGCAGGGCATCAGCAATTTTATAAAAAACAAAAAAATTATTACTTCTTCACCGAATACATGCGCTTGAAATTAAAGGCAGGATTTTTCTGAACATGTCGGTGTTATTTTATGACTTCTTACACATTTTCCAAGGGGTGCCAAACAATATGACTGGCACTGAGGTTTGTATGCGAGAATGCCTTCCTGCTATTTCTGTTTTTGAAGCAGGTGCAAAAAGAGGATAGAGGAAACAAAACTGTGTCATATTCCGTCACTGAAGACAGCTCCATGAATTATGCGCCTTCTGAATGCTGCCTGTAGCCAGAATTATAACCTTTATTTAAGGAAAGGATCAAGGTGGCCACTAAGATAGCTCCAGGTCATAACATTCATTTCCACCAAAGGAACAAAAGAGTAATCGGCCAGATCACTGCTCTAGCCAGCTGGTCTCCCGTGTAAATGTCAGAAAAATATGTCCATGTCTAAACTGTGTAAATTCATTGTCTGTGAGCATCACAAGTGCAATCTCCTCCAGAGTTATTTATGTCTTAGTGGGTTTGCAGTAGGGTTAGATATCAAGACAGTTTTTGTGTATATGTTGTATTATAAATCTGTCAGAGCACCATACACTGGTGTAAGAATATAACTTATCTCAATATCAGAGAGGCGACTTCAGTTGAAAAGTTTATGTAACAGGGAGACTTTAAAAAAGGCAAAAATATTTCCATCCAATCATATTAACAAATATGTTAATATTAATTTATGCCTTTAGAGCAGGGGTCCCCAAACTTTTTTCCTGTGAGGGCCACATGACTTTTCCCTTCTCTGGTGGGGGGCCGGAGTCAGTTTGCAACAGAAAAAGTGTGACGATTGCAGGAGTGCCAAAATGTATAAATTTATTGTTTTCTAGAAAGCACAATCAAATAACCCTCTCTGGGTTCTTCACAGAAAAAATCCAGGAAATAACACTATTTATGAATTAAATACCAGTATATGAAAAAAAAAAAATCTAAATGTTCTCAGGTATTGTTCAGGGGGCCGGACCAAATGTGGAGGCGGGCCGGATCTGGCCCGCGGGCCATAGTTTGGGGACCACTGCTTTAGAGAATCGACAGGAAACACTATAGTCAAACCAACAAAATAACAATCCCAAAATTGTTTCACTTTTTGGAGCTTGCTCACATTACAAATTAAATTTCATCATTTTCACATTACACCACAATTCTAATGACGATAATTACTTTTTTGAAAGATAATACGATAATGCTTTGCTTTGTGAGATTCTGTTTTGCAAATAATTTGAAGTTTTCACTTCAATTGACTTTAAAACGTAACCTCTGACTTCTCTTCTGTGTCCTTGTGTAAGGAAAAGGAAAAACAAAAAAATATAGATTTCTGCTTTTGTTTTTAATTTTGTCAGTTTTAGTCCTCCACAGTCCTTTGGTCTTCATGATGATCTTTGATCCCTCATGTTCTCTAATAAACCTCCAAGGTTTTCAGAGATTTTTGCTAAAATTAAATTACACACTAGTTGAGGAGAGGAGGTTGAGAGGGCATCCTGTATACAGAAGCTGTTAGTCCTTGGTGCCGTCTCTGGGATTCGATTCCTGACCCTGGATTGTAGCTTCATGTCACTTCCCTTTCTCTCTCTCTCTCTCTCTCTTCCCATTTTTGACTAATACATCAATATTAGTCAAAAATGTCACTAATACCAAAAAAAAAAAAAAGAAAAAAAAAAAGAAAAGAAATCACTCACTAATATACTATATTTACTATTTAGGGGTTTGGAGAAGCTATTTTATTTAGGGATGAATACAGATATACACTACATCTGTCAGATTTAAACTCGTAAAAATAAAAAAAGAATAAAAATAAATAAATTTGAGCTATTTATAATTTTCTTGTCACTTCAGTATGCCATACTTTGCATTGCTGTATCAAATCCCAAGTGTGGCCATGCAATAAAAAGTTTGAGGAGTGGGAGTAGTTTTCGAGGTTCGATATCAGCATGTGCTCGTTCTCTCTGGAGCTTTGAGAGGGTGGCGGTACTCCCCCAGGCTTTTGGGCAGCGGGCCTATTTATGTCTGCATGACGTCTTTATGATGCACACTTACTCCTGCCGGTGTCGTCTCCGTCCTCGGCTGCCGCATCGGCTGCTGTTGTGACATTTACGGGGCTTCGCCGATCCATTCTATCGGATGTCGGCGATGGGGCCTTGGGGAGAAGTTTTTGCATTATTGAAAAGGCAGAGTTTGAGATGCCTCAGGGGCCCTTCAGGCATGAGCTGAATGACCCCTGAGGCTTGTTCCATGTGCTTGATGAAGCAGAGGGAAACGCTGGTGAACAAGATGAATTAATGAACAAAGTTTTTAATGCCAGCTATAAATAACATGAAAGATGGCCAGAAGAATCATGCATTATTTGTAGCAGATGCACAAGTACATGGGAAGATAACTTCAAAAGAGCGTGCTGTCTATTTAGGGTTATGCATCTGCATCAAAGCAAAAAAAAAAAGACTTTTTAGCAAACAAGGTAGCTGCAAGGGACTTTGAACCATAGGGGTTCTCTTTACACATGTGCACATTAATTACTTTCTTGCAAGTTAGTTTGATGCAAACGCAAGGCTTCTTTTGAGATGTTGCAGTAAAAGTCACGCATGCACACTCACACTAAACGATGCACCAACCTTAAAGGGGGTGGGGGTGAAGGGGTTCGCAGGGGAAAGACTGAGGAACAGACTGCTGAGAGTCTCTGCCTCCTAAGATCATGGGAGGAAACACAGATACAGCTCTACGCATTGCTGCACAAATCGCACACTAAAAAAAAAAAAAAACATTTTGGAAAATTCTGAGTAGGTGTTAATGACTCATCACTCTTTATATAAAATGCAGTGCGTGTCACTCAATAAACTGCTGAATCTGCTACAGTGTGGGGGCTGACATTCACTTTAAGCAGGTGAGTTTTGTTCGGAGTTTCAATATTTACTGCAGTACCTGCTCTTTACCTCTGCAGGGCAGTGTTTGGTTTATGTTTAGAAGCGTAATTTAATCAGCCTATGATGGCGCTTTATGTCAAAGCACGATTGTAAAGGTATGTCGTTCCCTAATACCTACAGCTCTTGTCATATTTCTTGGCTTGGAAAGTCTATGGAAACATCCGAGAACTTAATGACATTGTTATTACATTATTATAATTATTATAAGGTGGATAAAATAAAAATGAAGGGGCGTCCTGGTTCTGCTTCTTCGCGCTTCCTCATTTTTCTTCAGTGCATTTTTGAAGTATCGGACTGGCTCTCAAAATCAAAGAACTCTGATTCGAACTCGGAAGCAAATAAACCTGATCGACAGAAGCTGAAGAAAGAATCAAACTTTCCACCTAAGTATACATTCAAAGCCAAAAAATCACAGTGTGACAGTTCACCTAGGCAGCGAACCTGCCTTACCTTGTTGTTGTGTGAGTCGCACAGCGGTGTAGGAGATAGTCTTTCATGATTGATGGGATTGGGAGACTGTAAGAGAAATACAAGATGCAGAGTGGGCGGATGGAAACCTATATGACTACGAGACATGAATACAATTTTGATTACATTATCAGTAAAAGATACCTTTATTTAATATGTTATCTGTCAAGCAGCCGTCATGATTTCAGGTTTCAAATATTGATGCAAGTTTGTTGGAGCGTACCAGTGTGACATACACTGAAGAATGTGTGTAGTGCTTGTGTCAAGGTTAAATGTTTCGGAGCGGCTGTACCTGGGTTCTGTCCAGACCGGACTGAACCAGAAGCTGCACAGTGTCACCTGCCCTGCGGATGGCTTCTACTGCCTGCTCATGGCTGGCATCTCTCAGGTCCACGCCACTCACCTTGGCCAAGAAAAAAAAACATCCAAGCTAGATTATCATTATCATTTGATTAGAAAAAAAAAAAAAAAAAAAAAAAAAAAAAACAACAGAAAAACTATGCGTGTTGCTGAAGAAATTCCTGATTTGCTGAGGAAGTTCACCTGTTAACTGGACCTGTGAACACACAGGTATAATAAAATAACTCCAAAGAGTTCAAAATCATCAATTTGACATCCATAGTTCAGCTACTCAAAGAATTTGCTCTTCATCAGTTGACCACATGTTCCACTCCTTCTGTAGATCTTGTCAACTCCAGACATCTTAAATAGTCCAACTGCAGAGTTTGGCCTAATAAGTGTTACTTGTGTGTGTGTGTGTGTGTGTGTGTTTTTTTTTTTTTTTTTTTTTTTAATTTTCCCCCACTTTGTGGGTTTTTTACGTGTTTT